TCTTCGCGCGGGATGGTGTTGCGTGGCGGGATGAAGATGGCCTCCTCCGGCGTGTACTGCAGCGTCTCGAGGCTGAAGGATATGGGGCGGGGGCGTGCAGCGTCTGCGAATGCCTGGAACGCGGCGTCATTGAGCGGAGTGCGCGGCTCCCTGAACGAGATGCGGTCATTTGTGTTGTCGACCAGCACGCACGCGATGCTGCTGTCCTCTGCTACTTGGATGGCCTGGTTTCTGCCCTCGTTGGTGACGAAGAAGTCATCGTACACGCACCTGCGCAAGGGCTTGATGTCTGGCGTGTGCAGTAGGCAAAGCGCGCAGCCGCGCTTTTCCACCCACCGTCGTTCCATGGACGAATCACCAGCAAGCAGTTTCCCGTCCGCCCTCCCACCGTGAGATCGCATGGGCCACTCGGCAAACCCAGGTTGTGTATGGATCCTCCGCCTCCGCACCAGGTGCAAACGCGGGGCGTTGTTGTTGTTGTTGTTGTTGTTGTTGTTGTTGTTGTTGTTGTTGTTGTTGTTGTTGTTGTCGTTATTGTTGCTGTTGTTGTTGTTGTTGTTGTTGTTGTTGTTGTTGTTGTTGTTGTTGTTGCTGTTGCTGTTGCTGTTGTTGTTGTTGTTGTTGTTGTTGTTGTTGTTGTTGTTGTTGTTGTTGTTGTTGTTGTTGTTGTTGTTGTTGTTGTTGTTGTTGTTGTTGTTGTTGTCGGAAGAGTGGTGGTGGTGGTGGTGGTGGTGGTGGTGGTGTTCTGGGCAGTTGCGGGTTTAGCCATGAGCACAACAACAGCAGCAGCAGCAATAGCGACAAGAACAGCCACCACAGCACCTCTGCGGCACATTGATGCACGTCGAACCATGGCCGTGCCCATACAGAGACAAGACAGAGACAGACAGACAGTTACGCCCACAGCAAAGCAGACAACTGCTGTTGCCGAGGAATCATGAATATCATCATCATTTTTCGCCTGCGGTTTGCTCGCTCGCTCGATTTTCAAAAACGAAACACAGCCAGCATCAACATCAACCACCGCCCGCGACAAGACAACAAGACAATCGCAGACACTCAAGATGACAGCCGGGCAGGCTTCGGTGAGGCCATCTGACAAAGTGTGGTGGGCGATTGAGGGCTGAGCAAGCGATGGAGAGGGAGCCGTTCAACGTGCGTTGCAGCGCACGCAGCGTGTGCAACGGTGACGGCCCAGCATCACTTGTTGTCGAAGCACTTGCCTGCTAGCACAAATGCGCGCGCTTTTTGTTTCTCACACATGTACGCCTGCACACACACACGCACACACACGCACATGATGCACGATGCAAGGGAGAGGATTCAAACAACAGTACCGCAATGTCCACCTCTCAAAAGAGGAAAACCAAAGAGTCTGACATCACAAGCCTGTCGACAAACGACGTGAGTTATTGTTTGGGTTGTGTGCGAACGTGTGGCGATAGCCCGAGAGGGCGCGTGTATGAGTGTATGGTTATGTGCATGTACATGTGCGCACCTGTGTATGTGTGAGTGTGCTCACCTATGTATGTGTGAGTGTGTGCACCTGTGTGTATGTTTGTGTGCATGTGTGTGCAGTGTGTGTGCATATGTGTGTGGGTGTGTGGGTGTGTGTGTGGGGAAAACATTCATTCAACACCCTTCTGGGCGCCAAAAATTTGTCTTACGTGCCACAACCAGCCCATAATCTCACTTGTGGGCACCTGCTGTTACTTTCGCTCCAAATCGACCCGCCCTCTTTTCTTTCAGGCTGCTGTGCTGCGCGCGCATATCTGCAAGCAGCAATGAAAGAGTACGAGAGCCTTTTGGGGGGCACTCTGCAAGACTGCAAGCGATCATACCGCGCCTTCGCCGAGCAGATCAGCACAATTGCAGGCCGGCATGGGATCGAAATCGGTTCACCCGGCCCTCTCGACAACGCACCCAAGGCAAAGAATTATGTCGACAGCATGCTGAAGCAGCCCTACACGGAAAACATCAAGAACTTGCTCCAGCAAGTCCGCAGTGTGCTGGATGAGAAAAAGCAGATACCAATGGACGACGTGGAAGACTTCCTTCAGAAGCTTGACAACGTGACACGCAAAGGGCTGTCCGAAGAGCAACGGCAGTTTCGACAAGGTGCGCCTGTCTCACTCAGCCTTTCATGTGCGGCTGTGTGACCAAATGGGCTGACGGCTGTGTGTGTGTGTGTGTGTGTGTGTGTGTGTGTGTGCATCGGTGGTGTTAGATTACTGCGAGCGGCCCTGCACTTGAGTACTCTGGTTGACTGACACGTTGCTTGCGGGTTGTTTTGAACTCATATTGGCTGTTTGATGTGGTTCGTGGCAGATTTGGAGTCAAGCGTAACCCCCAGCAGCGCTGCCAAGGAGAAGGAGAAGAACAAGGATTCGGCCCACAGAACAGTCTATTCGCAGCCGTTCTCTGCCGAGCTTCTCTGCCCCAACTGGCACCTGCACTACGAGGGGTTTCAATTGGCAGTCGATGAGGGCACAAACACGGGTAAGGTCGCTGTCGAGCATGTGTTTGCTTGCTGTGTACACGTATACATGTGAGCGTCCTTTTTGTGAGAGAACGTGGCATGTGTGTGTGCGTGTGTGTGTTTGTGTGTCGGTGCTGATGCATGGTGGTTGAGTCTTTGGCGCTCGTGCGCGGGTGTGCTGGCACTGGAGGGGAGTATTTCTCTGTATTTCTCTGTCGCTCACACCGACGCTGCACCATGCACGCCCACCGCACTGCAGGCTTTTCTGACGTGTTTTGCACGCCGGAGACGCTCTTCAACGACTGCATGCAAGCGCCCCTCATCAGGGCGTGTGGTGATGCAAAAGTGTACGTCAAGAGCCACGCGTCGTTTAGAGCCGACCCCGCTGTTGTCGCCGACTATGTTGTGCGTCTGATCTCGAACTACTTCTTCTACCCGCTGTTGCTTGAGCTCAAGACCGATGGCAGCGGGCCGACACAGGATGCTGCCAAGGCGCAGGTGCTGGAGTATGCATCACGGGCCATCAAGTCTGCGGGACCGGAGTGGCGTGCTTTGAAAGGGTATTTGTTTCCCTTTGCCATCACCGTCTGCGGGCAGAACGTGTCCGTGTACGCGTGCACGCTGGGCGATGAGGTGCACGGCGACGAGGCCTTTCCCAGTATCCTCCACACAAAACTTGGCGACATGTGTGTGTGTGTGTGTGTGTGTGTGTGTGTGTGTGTGTGTGTGTGTGTGTGTGTGTGTGTGTGTGTGGGTGGGTGTGTGTGTGTGTGTGTGTGTGTGTGTGTGTGTGTGTGTGGCACACATGATCCAGCACGTGCATCTGTGCAGTTGCTGTCGACTGGCCGTTGCCTTGTACACTGCTAGTTGTCGTTGGACCTGCGCTCACATTGGTTTCCTGTGCTGTGGACTTTAGTTGGAGAAACTCGGGAATGTCATTGCGTGGCTGCTTGACGAAGAGCACATGGCGCATTACGAGAATATTTCCGCCATTGCCCAGGTACCCATAGCAGGAGTGATTTGATGCCCGCTTACTCCCTTGTCTCCTTGTCTTCTTGCTGTCTTGCTCGCCTGCTGCCTTCGTATTCTGCCATCATGGCACACCTCGCACATGCACACACAAATACTGTGTGCGTGCGTGTATCGTCTTTCTTTCGTTCAACAATCAACAATGATACTCACTTCCGCACTCGCACACACACACACACACATACACACACACACATACGCCATGGCACAGGGAAAAGGGAGCGGTCTCACCTCCATTCCGGAGCACAGAGTCTACAATGTGTCATCCGCAGCTAGCGGTGGTGCGCGCAACAACAGTGGCAACGGCGACACCAACGATAGCGCTGATGGGGGGGTGCAGAATGAGGAAGAGCGCGACAAGGCAGCCACGCAGACCGACACAGCAGCCAGAGGCAAGGAGGGGCATCAGCGTCAGCAGCTTGCGGTCACCAAAGCAGCACGGGCGAGGTCTGCCAAAGTTGCCACGACATACGAGATGTGCGTCTACAAAGGCGATGAGGATACGGTCACGGTTGCATTGGTGAACGGCGAGGTGTTGAAGGTGTGCGGTGGCCACGACATTGGCGCTGCCAAGGAGGCTGACAGGGAACGGGAGGGTTGGAAGTACCTCTATCCAGAGGAAACGGTGAAAGTGCACGAGCGGTCACGCCCCGTGTTTGCCTGTCCCGACCTATCGAAGCATATAACGGGCGCGGGCACCGACGGCAAGAAGGCGCTTCACGGCACGGGCATCAAGGACAAAGCGGGGCTTGCGGCCGCTGCTGAGCACCTCCTTATTTTGTCGAAGACGAACATGTGCCACTGCGACGTCCGATCCCACAACATCCTGCGCAACGGCTGCATCGTCGACTTTGGTTTCCTGCGCGAGGCGGGTTCGCAGCTTCCCAAATCTTATTCCACGAAGCTGCGGGAGCGCCCTCGCAAGTGGCTGCTGCATCACGACGCAGAAGCGATTTCTGCAGACGTTGTTCTGGATTGGGAATCGCTGCTGTTTGCATACGTATTCTCCTCTACTTCTCTCTCCACCGCCATGTACCGGTTGCTTGAGGGCAAGGCGTTCCTGCTGGAGTGGCTGGAGGCCAAGTTGGCCAAGTTGGACAAGGACGACAAGAAGGAGACAGCAGCTCTGCAGGACAAGAGCGATGACGAAGACAAGAAGGAGACAGCAGCGCTGCTGCACAACATTATGCAGCACATTGCTTGCGCGTACTTCTAAATGGAGTGCGCTGCGTGTGTGTGTGTGTGTGTGTGTGTGTGTGTGTGTGTGTGTGTGTGTGTGTGTGGCTTGGACAGAGTGGGAGAGCGCGCACGTGTGTGTATGAGTGCGAGAAGGTTCATGTGTGTGCGTTGTTTGAATGGATATGCGTGTGTGTATGTGTGTGTGCGCGCGCGCGTGTGTGTGTTGTGGGGCTGGAGACGATGATGGTTACTTCCCTCTTTTGAAAGTGACCCTGACTCTGAAGCAGCGTTGTATTCGTGCAATGGTGTGGATTGAGATGGGCTGAATGCGC